TTTGTGTAGGCACATTTTCATGTATTTCCCACCCAGGAATGGGCTTGCTGGGTCATATGGGAAGGGTAAGTTTAAGTTTATAAGGAACTGCGGACTTTTCTAAAGTGGCTGCTGCAGTTTGCGTTCCCCACCAGCAGAGTCTTAAGAGTTTCATTTACTCCACAACCTCTCCAACGCTTGGCGTTTTCAGTCTTTTAATTTTAGTCATTGTAGTGAGTGTATAGGAATGATTTGTTATGATTTTAATTAATTTTTCTGATGACTAAGGATGTTGAAAATCTTTCCATGTGCTTTGTATATCTTTTTTTTTTTTTTTTAGGTGTGTGTTCAAATCTGTTACCCATTTTAAAATCAAGTCATTTGTCCTGGTTCTACTGAGTCGTAAGAGTTGTATATTCTGGATGTCAGTCCTGTATCACATATACAGGGGTGGGCAAAAGTAGGTTAATCATAATAAATAATAACTCAATGGTTAATAAATAATGATACAAGAATAAACTGTTTTACGTACTTAACAACTGTACTTTTGCTCATTCCTCACCCCTAGTCTATGCTTTGCCTTTTAATTTTCTTACCAGTCACTTGAAATGCAAATGTTTTCAATTGTGACCAAGTCCCATTTACCCTTTGTTCTTTTATGCTTCATATCTTTTATAGCCGACCTAAATAATATTTGCCTAGCCCAGAGCCATAAAGATTTTCCTGTTTCCTTCTAGGTGTTTGTAACTTCAGTTTGTTTATTTAGCTCTCTCACCCATTTTAAGTTATGTTTGTATGTGGTGTAAAGTAAAAGTTGATTTATATGTATTTTTTTTCTGTGTGGCTGTCCAATTGTTCCAGCATTGTTTGTTGAAAAGAATACCGTTTCCACGCTGAATTACTTTGGCACCTGTGTGAAATCAGTTAACCTTAAATGCTTGGGTGTGTTTCTAGACTCTGTATTTTTTCCTCCATTGATCTAAATATTTATTTGTACACCAGTCTCACAGTGTCTTAAATGTGATACTAAGTCTTTCAGCTTTGTTCTTTTAAAAATTGTTTAGAATATGTTAGATTCTCCGCATTTTCATGTAAATTTTAGATCATAGAGTCAAGTTCTAAAAAAAAAAAAGTGTCGAGCCATTGATTTGGGTTGCGTTCACTCTGTAGATCAACTTTGGGAGAACAGCTTGGCAATTTCGAGTCTTCCAATCCAACACGGTGTCTCTGTCCATTTAGCTCATGTCAGCATGTTTTGTAGTGTTCATTATACAGACTTGCACATCTTTTGTTAAATTTATGCATAAATATTTTATATTTTTAATGTTATAAATTGCAGCTTTTTGACATTTTAATTTCCAGTTGTCCATCAACATTATACAGAAATAAAAAACGTTTTTACCTGTCAGCTCTGTATTCTGCAGTCTTGCTGAACTCACTTATTATTTCTAGTAGCTTTTGGCAGTAGATTCCTCAGAATTCTCCACATGGTCAGTCATGTCCTCTACAAACAGAGACTTTTCCTTCTTCCTTTTCAGTTGTTAACCTTTTGTTTCTTCTTCTTGCAGTGCTTAGGACTTTTAGTATTATGTGGAAAAGACATAAAATCCTGGCTTTACTCCCGATCTTGGGGAAAAAGCGGTTTCCTTTCACAATATAGTAAGTGTGATGTTAGCCGTCGGTTTTCCTAGATGCCCCGAACTAGATTAAGTTCCTTTCTGTGTCTCGTTGGCTGATAATTTGCATCATTACAGACTGTTGAATTTTGTCAAGTGCGTTTTCTGCATCTGTCAATGTAATCTTCCTGAAAAAATCTGTTAATCCCAGGACTTCATTTCATTATAACTTTATTACTTATTATCATCTCTTTCAAATAGCATTTCATAAGGTTGATACAATAATTATCATTGATCCAATTCAAATAAATGCAGTCTTAAACCTGAAAAATAGTTTGTTAAGTGGATAGAAGTAGTGAACAAAAGGGAATAGAGAAATTTGACCTGGAATGAAAGGTAACTGGTAAATTATGCAGGTTCACTCATTAATTAGCATGTGCGATTGGTGGGTGATAGATGGTTTGTTAAATATTGTTTAGTGTTTATTTCAGGAGGGAATACCTTATCTGCCTCAAGGAGGGAGGTCCTTATTGATCTAGAATAAAACATTTAAAAATGTACATAAGTTTATTGGAAATGAAATAGATTTGATATTTTTAGTCACTTTAATAAATAATGCTTTGGTTTTATTATTGTTAGTAGAATAAAGTCTCTCCCCTTTGCATAGTTTTGGTGTCGGTGTTACGAAAAGTCAGTTTTTGAGGCTGCTTTGACTTGTTTTCAGACGGAGTTTTATTGCTTCAAAATGCTAGTAGACTGAGAATCTAATGTGAAGAGTCTACCATGTTTTGTTTTGTTTTCTGTCTTGCTTTTAGCAAGGCGCACTTTCTATTTAGTTCATTTTGAATCCTTACCACCTGAGTTTTGTTCCTGAGTGATAATTATTAAGTGCTCTTCATGGCTCTGAGTCGTAGCAGTGTGAATTACCCCTAGTTCTGGCATTGCCTCGTGAAGAGAAAGTGTTACTGCACCTCAGAGAGCCAGAGTGTTTGGAGCATAATATGGCTGTTTGTTTGCCACGTATGCATTATTCTGCATTTATGCAAACCAACTGCAGTTCGATTTGTGGTTAACCCAAAGAAAAGGCTGTGGTTTCCTTTTTATTCTTAATCTTGAAACAGGAACATGAAGTATTTTTACACCTTGGTTCAAAACCCCCTGATTTGATTATTCTGCTTTGCAGTTGCTGTTAATATGTTTCTTATCTGGATAAGCTCAGGGTTGGCGTTTCATATGTAATGGCGGCATTGCCGCCCGTCTGGGTGTGTGTGTTGCAAAACCCCCAAAATAGCAGCATGCAGCTTTCTCAACAGTGGCTTCAGCAACTCTGGATTTTAAAGGAACTTCAAAAAATCAAATTAACATCTGAATGCTATCTTTCAAAACACATCAGCAAGTTTAAAAAATATGACTTTTCTTGAATTAATTCTCAGTGTTTTTCTCTGTGTTAAATACAAAACTACAGAGCAGTGGAAATAGTGGGTGTTCTGGGAGTCATAGTGCTATTGGAATTAACACCGAAAAAGTAGCAACTTGACATGTAAAAGATGCATGTTAAAATAATTATTAATTTATACTGAAAATCTGTGATAATTAAAATGGCAAAATATTCAATTCAAAATTTAATAGTTCCATGTGGATTCTAATTATATCAAAACATTTGTTGCCTGGAATCTTTTAATTAGGAAATGAATTATTACAGAGCACTGAAGTTTTTAAAATACCTAAGGTGTTGCAATCTTTACTGCTTTTTGTATTCTTTAGCCTACTTCAATTATTTGGATTATGTGGGGGGGGTGTGTCTTTTCCTTTCTGTTGACCGCCTGTTCAGTGTTTTTGCCTTCAATTCTAGTTTTCTGCGGCTGATGTGCTGGGAGTTTGGGATTACGTAATTGAGTGTAATAACAGGTAGTAAGTTAGAGTTGGACAGGAAATCAAGAATATTTTTGCTGAACTTTAAGACTCATATGGCTGCACAGTATGAGAGGGACGAGAAAGAGTATAAATTGATGTCTTCAGTTTGATAGTAGCTACCAAAAATTATATATCTACACCTTTGACCCATTGGGTCTGTTCCTAAGGATTTAATCCATAGCAGTACAAGCATATGTGCAAAATATATATGCATATAGAGGTTTATTGCAGTGTTGTTGATGTAGTGAAAAACTGAGTTCAGCCTACGAGTTTATCAGTAGAGGAATAAATAAACTCGAGCATGTCCGTACTTTGGACTGTGAGGAGAAGGCACTGCGCAGCGTGGACACTCCGGAGTCAGGTGGTCAGGTTTGAATTCTGGATCTTTCCTTTGCTCTTTGCATGCCGTGGGCTCACTTCCCTCCTCTGGGCCTCGGTTTTCTTGTCTATAGAATAGAGGTACTTGAATCTGTTTTGGAGGGTTGTGTGACAGTGAAATGAACTGAAGTGTCCGGAACAGTGCTTGCAACACACGTACTCGGTCACATCAGCCTGCGCAGCAGTGTGACCCTGCAGCTGGAGCGGCACTGCGGCGCCAGTTAAACTGTCCGGGAACTGCGGACGGTGCCGAAACCGAGCACCGAGCGGTGAAGCGTTTTCTCTTGTGGTGGTGTCCTGACTCGTGCTAGTTCTACAAGTGCGACGCGTCCCGAGCAAGCGCCGAGCGGGAGAGTTTTTTTCTTATCAAAATGTGACGAGTACAGGTTTGGCGAGTTCTGAAGCCGACGAGTACCGAGGAGTATAGAATTCTCGTAGGAAAACCGTGACTTAAGTAAACAGATTGTGGAGCGTTGTGTTCGTATGACAGGCACACCGATTGTGAATAAAATTGCAAAGTGACATGTGCTCATGTATTTTGATATGTGCTGATAAATCTGGGAGGATAAACTCCAGTCTTAACAGTAGTTCTCTCTGGAGAGTGAGGTTGGGTGGAGGGGAAGCAGATTACCAGATTTTTCATTTCATTTCATTTCTTTATCCTCACCTGAGGACATTTTTTCATTGCTTTTAAAGAGAGGAAAGGGGGGGAGAGAGAAACATTGATGTGAGAAAGAAACATCAAGTCCCTGCCTTCTGGTATGTGCCCCGACTGGGGATCAAACCCACAACCTGGGTATGTGCCCTGACTGGGAATTGAACCCATGACCCTTTGGTCTGCAGGACAGTGTTCCTACCAAAAGAGCCACACTGGCCAGTGCTAATTATGAGATTTTAAAGAAATATTTTCTTATATATTTTTTTCAAGCATGTATTACATTTACAACTAAATTTTTTTTGTAAAGAAAAAAAGATTCAATAGACCATAAGGATAGTAGAATATTTTTGACCTTTATTATACTCTTAAAAAAATGACTGTGAAAAAATTACGTTCTTTAAGTGATGCGTGTTTTCTCTTACTTTCCTAGTGACTCACTCAGATTCTCCTTGCAGGAACACGCCTACCCAGCCGATGAACTCATGCCTTTAACCTGCAGAGGTCGTGTCAGAGGCCAGGAGCCCAGTCGGGGTGATGTGGATGATGCCCTGGGCAAGTGAGTGTCAACACAGGGCTGGGGTGGCGTCACCAAGTCCCCAAGCCTGGGGCTCTTAGAGGCAGTCGACAGTAGTATTCCTGGGGATTGCTTGAATTTCAAGGACTGCTTTAATGTTACATGAGGTTTCCTTGTTCCCTGTGTTAGCTTTTGTAAAAACATCAGTTTGGCTCTTTGATCAGTGGAAAGTTGAGTTGTTGAAGTAAGATGAACATCACTTTTAACATGTATGTAAAGCCATTGACACGTTACAAGGTTTGAGGCTTTAATGTTTTTCTTTGCTCTGAAAAGAGCTGATGAATATTTCTATTCATTTTGAAGGGTGTGGAACTGAAAATAAATGTAGCGTTAAGGCTTTTCAGGTCCTTCCAGTGCTTTTTGGGTTCCATTGTGCTATCGATGCGTAGAGTACTGGTGAACAGGGACTGCCAGTCCGTGGGGTATACTTACGCCTGCCTGTGCATTCAGAGATGAAATACTCAGAATTCTAATGTTTTGTATCTCATTATACTTGTTTTTTAGGTTTTCCCTGACACTGATCGATTCTTTGGACACTCTTGTGGTAGGTTTAATTCTTCTCGAATTGACTGACTTTATAAATTTCATAATATACACATAGTAAGTCTGAAATTCTGAAAAGCCTTCGATCTTTGCTTCTAAATAAATCCTTCACACTATGGAATGAATGATGTCATGTGATTGCCAAGTGAAATTATGTAGAATCATGGAGATACTTGAATAATTTATGGGTGTGTCAGCTTATATGATGGCACCTTAATCAGGGAGGTTGTTGCTGCGCAATTTATTGGACTCTGAGATTGAGAAGGGAAAGCAGTCAATTTAAAATCGGGTTGCATATTATCTTTTACTTGGGGCATACCCTGAATTTTACTGGCATTTTACTCAGGTATTCTTGTGGAATGTTTTCTAAGTAGAATTTTTAGTGAACGTGTCAAATGAAGTGAAGAAAAGCACTACAAAATATTATCAAATGTTAAGACGAAACAGTCAAGGAAAGGAAAACTACTTTTAATGGTTTATTTTCTTACTTTCTTCTAGGTATTAAATAAAACGAAAGAGTTCGAAGATGCAGTAAGGAAAGTTTTAAGCGATGTCAATTTAGATAATGATGTAGTCGTGTCGGTCTTTGAAACAAACATCAGAGTTCTCGGGTAAGTGCGAAGACACGAGGCTATACCTCTAGTAACAGACAGGCTTAGGGTATAGTGTTTATTTCCCGATGCTCATGAGTAAAGCAAGACAGTTCCTATTTTTAAATGATGAAAGGTGGGATATTTATGAACAGAGGCTCTCGGGAGGCCCTGCATTAAATCAGGATCAGGCAGCAGCAGGTTTTGGAAAAAGTTGCAGACTCAAATCAAAGGTAGTCCCTTTGATTTTTGTGTATTGTTAAGAAAGGACCATAGGTGGAACATTCTCATATTAGCCACAGTACAGGTTTCTCACTAGCAATGTGGTTTGCTAACCTTTGCTAGCACCTCTTCAAGCCAAATGAAAGTAAATTTATAGGACTACACAATTTGAAGTACTCTTGCAACATATAAAAATATAGAATTGTAGGATTTATTAACTCAAACTTCAACATTATTAATTTTTATATTTAGTAAGGTTACTCTTGTGTTATTGTAATTCATTTCCTTTTGTCAAGGTGAGTCTATTCTTCAGTTAAATTTAAGAAATAATTTTTTTTAATTAAAAAATTTAAGAAACAGTTATGTAGCTTTTCAGAGTTTGTTACATTTAATGTTAGTGGGGGTTGTTTTTTATTTTTTTAATGTTACACTAAGAATTAAAGCTTTCATGATGGTATAATTAAATTAGTTAACTTTAAATTGTGTTAAGATTAAAATTTTCAAATTTGTTGAAATAAGTGGCTTCTTTGACGTTCTTTTCTTTAGGAAAACTTAAGGTTTTACAAAATACAAACCCTTTACAACAGGTACAGCATCCGTATTCTTTTTTGTACTTGCTTACCCAATATAGAGGTTTGCCGTAAATGAGAAGCCAGACTTAAGTAAAAAATTAAGTTCTTCTGTGCCCTTTCCCTGCGTGTGTGAGGTTGACAGGACGCCTGCGTCCGTGTGGGCGGTGACTCGCAGGCGCCGTAGGTGCCGACGACGTCTCCCTCTGTGATTGCAGGGGCCTTCTGGGGGGCCACTCGCTGGCCATCATGCTGAGAGAGAAGGGCGAGCACATGCAGTGGTACAGCGATGAACTCCTGCAGATGGCCACGCAGCTGGGTTACAAACTCTTACCAGCCTTCAACACCACCAGTGGCCTGCCTTATCCACGAGTAAGTAATTTGGAGAAACTCAGAAGCGTTTCGATGCTTCCTTTGCTGTTTAAGGTAAAAACCAATCATGAATTTTTGTGATTGGAGCCATTGTTTCTCACCGGCTCGAGGCTGAAGGAAAGGGCCCCATAGCCAGATAACAAGTTTATATGACATTTCAACTAATTTGGATCTGAGTGGTGTGAGAATTTAGAAGAGTTTTAAGCCTTTCATGGGTCACTCATGACACATTAGATTGTGCCATCGAAGGAGGAAACTGTGCCGACTGCAGTTTGGGCACGGAATGACCTGTGCAGAAGGTACAGCTGAAGCAGTGAGAGCAGGTGTGGCCTGTCCAGAGGAGAGGATAGTGAAGGACACCGGATGGAGGGGACCGAGGAGGAAGCAGAGCCATGAGCAGAGAGAGCAGAGACGGAGGAGGAGAACCACAAAGTCGTGCAAGGTGTCAGAAAATCATAACCAGAAGGCTTTGAGAGGAGATGTTCTAGAAAACATGAGCGCTATGTGCAGAGAGAGCCTTGAAGAAGTGAAGTGGTAGGTAGAGTCCAGGGGAAAGAAGCGTTTGGGCAGTGGAAGTGCAGAACCATTGGTTTTGAGATTTCTTCTCCGTTAAAGAGAGTTGGCAGCAGAATCATTTGAAGGAGTTTTATGTTTTTCCCCCCAAGAAAAAAAGGTTATGTTTAAAGTGGAGGGAAAGAAGCCATTGAAGATAGAAAGAACTCTTCTGATTTATTTCATCCTTCATCAACACTATTACTTTCTCTCTCTTATTCCAGACAGACCTCAGCCATTACCAGGCCTATTTTTTCATGTCTTGTTGCTACTACACAAGTTAAAAGTGATATAATTTCATTCTGAAGCTATTGTAATTCTTGTCTTATTCTTTTCTCTCTGATTTATGGTTCAGAGCTTTAAAAATTAATCTTACTAAAATGTTTTTATCAAAATGCTCTCAGAAATTTTACAGACTCTTCCTGTTATACTCTTCTCGTCTTTTAACTTTCAGAACTCCTTGTGGTTTGCCAATCAGCTTCCTTTCTGATTTCTCTCCCACCCAGAAGCTATTAGTGTCCCTCAAACCACCTCGGGTTTTATCTTTTTGGTTTAGTTTTATTATTTTTTCATTGCTCTGCCTTTAAGTGTCCTCTCAATAGTCTGGAATAACTTCTCCACCGACACAAATCAAGTAAGACTCATCTCCTTCATCAGGACACTTCCGGCCAGAGATAACAGTGCCTCTCAAATTAGAGGTTGCAGCCCATTGACTTCACCCCTCCGTTTACTGGGTTGTGACCAACACCGTTTTTTTCTGAAACAGACTAGTGTTAAATCTCTTATTTAAATTTTTAGTTTTTGATGTTTGAAATTGCCCTTCTTTATACACATCTTTTTACCTGTTTCTTCCTTGGGATACAGTTCTAGAAGAGGAAATAAAGTCCTCTGCCCAGTTGTTCTGCAGAAAGTTTCTGCACTTGCAGCTCCTGAGTGTTAGTTGTATAAAAGCACGTGTCACTGTACTTTGCCGTTGTAATAGTTATTACCATTCTTTTGTCAGTTTAACAGGGACAATGGGGCCATTTTTTGCAGTACCAAAGCCCACACAGTGACCCATGTCTCACCTACATTTCACGTTCGTCGTTTTCTGCTGACATCTGTCTCTGGGCTCAGACAGTCCAGTCTGTTGACCGACGCCGTTCGGGTCAGATGCACACCCAGCAGCTGGGTTCTGCAGACCAGTAGAGATAAAGTTACTTGAGCTTCTGTTTATAAGAATTTGAGTAATAACTGATTTGGAAATATACTCATGATGTTTAACATTTGATTTTTTTTGTTTATTTTATGCAAAGTTATTGGCATGTGCTTGGTTTTTGGTTATTTATTTGGACTTCAGAAAAACATCCTATTTTTAGTCAGTTTAGTTTGGTTAATGAAGGTTTATACTGTGGTGTTATAAAAAGGCAGTATGACTGTCTTTGAATTATAAAACAAAATAGTCCTTTAAAAGTAATTTTTTGTGTGTTGATTTGTTAGTCCATTAGCAAGGCAATGTATTACATTTTAAAACTTTTTAAACCTGAAACAAAATTTTAATTTCTTTAAAAATACATATCATAACTTAATCAGTGTTTTCCCTGTGAAGACCCATATAATATAGCACTGGTTTCTCACAAATTCTCAATTAAACCCAGTTTCTTCTAGGGTTGGTCTATCTAGTTGTCTGTTCTTGTACTAATTAGTTCAAACTGTCCTGCAAACAGAACTGTTATAGAAGTTATTTTCTTTGTGTAATTTTTATAATGATACTGAATTTCAATATCATTGAGGAAGGAACTAAATGAAAACTTACTGTGTGCATAGAATACATTTCCCTCGATAATAATAGGAAAGTCACAAAGATCGTCAGATTGAATGTAAGGATTTAGTTATTTTGTGAATTATTTTCATGTTTTGATAAAAAGTCTTTTTTTACAGTTTTTTGTTTGTTTGTTTGTTTTAAAGATTCTATTTACTTTTAGAGGAGAAGGGAAGTTTAAGAAAGGGAGAAAAACAGCAACTTTCGAAAGATACCTCAGTAAGTTGCCTCTTGCACGCCCCCAGCTGGGGACCTGGCCTGAGCCCTGGCTGGGAAACGAACCAGAACCTTTTGGTTTGCAGGCCAACACTTAGTCCGCTGAGCCACACAGCCAGGGCTGATAAGAAGTCTTGATTGAGAAATATTCTGATGCAGGAGTCAGTATCTCTTTAATGCTAATAACCATCTCCTGATTTTATTTAGATTAACTTAAAGTTTGGCATCAGGAAGCCAGAAGCCCGGACGGGGACGGAGACCGACACCTGCACGGCCTGTGCAGGCACCTTGATCCTCGAGTTCGCGGCCCTGAGTCGGTTCACGGGAGCAGCGGTGTTCGAGGTTCGCTCTTCACAGTCTTCCGTCTCCCGGGCACTGGGCACAACTAACTTGGTGTCTTTTTCCCATGGGTCAGTTATTAGGATTAATGGTCGGAGGGGCACTGTTGTTTTAGTGAACTGTGTACCTCCCATCACAGTTTTTGTCAGAAACATGGAAGTCATTGTGAGGTAAATACATTAACTGCAACTTCACATTTTTTCACAAACTATAAAATTTAGTTTTGTTCTCAGATTTTTTAGCCATATTACTATGAATTTGATGCCACAAATGTCTTACATGAAATAAGACATCTCCAGGTTTTTTATTTTCAGACTGTGAGGTGTTCTAACGCATTTCTAAAAACTTCATTAATCTAAAACACGATGAAATTTTTACACTTGAGTCTTGATCAAGAGTCTTGTCTTTAATTACATCAAGGGAAATGTTATTAATTGTCCAAAAGACTTAGTGTCCTTCACGTAGTTTATTGTGGACTAGCAAAGTCTCACATTTAAAAAAATTTTTTTATCTAATTGTTTAAGCTTGGCATTGGAGAGCAATATTAACACAAAACACCCTTTTTTTTAATATGTGCGGCAGGAGTCTTTTAAAAACTCGTCAGATGGTGCAGGTGGAACAAGAAGAAAGAGGGAAATGTGTCAGCTTTAGAGACATTAGATCGGAATGTAAATAAAACAAGTCACATTGTGTGTGTGCGCGCTGAAGTGTCTCTCGGACAGGTGTATCATGTTTGGTTTAGTTTTCATTCTATTCCTGGTCAACTATTAAGTAAAGACACTCTTGCACACTAATTTGAACCACAGACTCTGAGATTCGGGTGAGAAGAGTGAGCTCAGAGGGTAAGATGCACAGCCGGTGGGTGAACGAATGGAAGTGGAGTTAGAATCCTTGCCTTTCCGAAGTCAGAGCCCATACTCCTTCCTCCAGGCTGCTTTGTGTTTATGAGTAACTCTGTTGAGAGTCACGATTTTTGAAGCTTCTTGAAGGGTCAGTGATTTACTATGAGCAACCGAATGCAGGTGGTAGAGCGCCGATCTGACCCAGGACTGGAAACCGCAGTCTGCAGCCACGTCTAGCCAGCGTCTGTTTCTGTGAATGGAGTTTTACCGGAGCAGAGCCGAGCTCATCTGTCTGGTCTTGTCTGTGGCTGCATTTGTGCTACAGTGACACAGTTGAAAAATTGTGACAGCGCCGAGAAGACTTACTCCCTGGCCCTTGTCAGAAAAAGTTTGCTGACCTTTGGGCCAATCTATAAAGAGACCTCATTTAGTTGTCCTATAATTTAGTTTTAAGCTGGGTTAATCTTTGACTTTTACTAGGACTGTTTTCTTAGCTGGAGGATAGAACAGGGAAATATAATCTTGATGACACTTTCCAGCTCTGGAACTATGGCATGTAATGAAAGTTGTAGTCTGCCTTGTTGTACAAATCAGCTTAAATAGTGTGAGGCAAGAATTAAATGTCTGCAAAGTGACATGTTGGTTTATGATTTCTTTTTTAGAATCTCTGCAATGCTAAGTAGATTTATGCTCTTAAATTAGTTTGAACTTGGAAACTATCCAGTACATGTCCAAAACCAAGAATTTGATCAGGAAATTAGTGTCCAATGGGTAAAAATAAATGAAAAAAAGAAAAGAAACTATTATCATAAGGTTAAAAGTTTGGTTGTCAAATGAATACTAGTTGATTTACTGACTCTCTAACAAAGAAGAGTTGTTCAAAAAGTGGGATCTTTGCCCTGGCTGTTGTGGCTCAGTAGATTGGGTGCCAGCCTGTGAACCAAAAGGTCACTGGTTCGAGTCCCAGTCAGGGCACATACCTGGGTTGCAGGCCAGGTCCCTAGTTAGGGGCATGTGAGAGGCAACAGATCGATGTGTCTCTTGCACATTGCTGTTTCTCTCTCTTTCTCCTCTCCTTCCCCTCTCTCTTTAAAAAAAAGTGAGATTTTAAAAAAAGATTTCATTTATTTATTTCCTGAGAAAGGTGAAGGGAGGGAGAAAGAGAAGGTGAGAAACATCAATGTGTGGTTGCCTCTCATGTGCCCCCAACTGGGAACCTAGCCTGCAACCCAGGCCTGTGCCCTGACTGGGAATTGAATCATCAGTCCTTTGGTTCACAGGCCGGCGCTCAATCCACTGAGCCACACCAGCCAGGGCAAAAGTGGGATCTTAAATGCCTGTTTGTGTTTCAGAGATGGTGTACAAGCTTTCAAAGCTCTTCCTATTTTCTAAATAAGAATATCTGAGGAGATTTTCACTTTGCATCTAAGTGACACATCAAGTGCATTTAATTATGTCAGCAATTAACTTAATTTAATAATACGTGTGTGTGAATGTGAACTTGTACTACAAGAGCAGATGAATCCGCATGGTTTCAGACTGAGATCATGGCCACTAAATAGCATTTTCAGAGTCATTGTTTTTAACTAGATTTGACTGGCTGCAAAAGAGCCGAGATTTGACTTGTGTGGAAATGTAACATAAATTATTAATGGTTATCTTAGAAGTTTAGTTATTCCTTAAAATAGTCTGTGGGCCTTTGATATTTGTTTCTTTGTTCCTGTTTGCCAGAGACATGAAGTTATTAAAGTATGCTTTTTCTTTTTTTAATTATAGGAATATGCAAGAAAAGCTCTCGATTTTCTCTGGGAAAAAAGACAGCGAAGTAGTAATTTAGTGGGTGTGACTATAAATATTCATACTGGAGACTGGGTACGAAAAGGTATGTAAGTTAGGTTTTTTTTAATCAGAACTTCACATCCTAGAATGGTTGGGATTTGGATTTGTTGAAGTAGCCCGGGGGTCAGTATAAAGCACATTTCTCACAAGATTGCCAGAATTATGACTAATTTAGCCTTACTCTTTTCTCGGTGTGCCAAACAAGAGCACACTTTTTCTAGACAGCTTAGTGTGCTATTTCATAGCTTCCTGGGTGTAGCATTTTAGGAAGAGGGTTAGAGGGACAGTAGAATAGGTTTCTTCGACGGTCTCCGCCGTCTGCATCCTCAGCCGTCTCACACGAAGGTGTAAGTGGAACTCCGTGTCCAGCAGTGTTCTTGCCAGTTCTTATTAAATGAATTCGAATCGTGAGACAAAGCATATTATGATGTTACATGAACAAACAGGGTACAGGATTGTGTAAAGAATGTGATTTCCTCTTTACAAGACCCCTTATAAAACATGCAGAGATGAATGGAAATATACTGGATATTCCTTACGACATTATCTTGCTTATGTGAGTTTCTGTTTCCCAAAAGTCTTATGATGTTACATATACATAAAAAAGAACCACCTGCTATTAAATAAATTAAAAATATAATTATTAATTTGAACCTATGAAAATTACTGCCTCCATTCACTATTGTATAAAATTTTTCTAAGTTTTATCTAAATGGTTTCTGAAACTAATCAGAATCCTGGCTTCCGATTCTACAATCTTTTTCTTTCTTTCTTTCTTTCTTTCTTTCTTTCTTTCTTTCTTTCTTTCTTTCTTTCTCTTTTTTTTTAACTTGCTTTGGAACTCAGGTGCAAATTAATTAATCATAATTCAATCAGTTATAATTGTTGGCTTATGACAGTCTCATCATGGGCCCATGTGTGGCCCATTTCACTTGGTCATTTTTAATGTGTAACAAGCACCACAAATGGACCATCTTCTGCAGAAGCAACCACTTGACAGCCTGTTACTCCTGTGTGTAGTCTGGACTCTCCCTGCTTCTGCGATTATATTTGGGCTGACTTACACCATTCGTAATTTCAGTGCACCCCATCTTTTCTGTTTCTTTGATGTGTTTCTTTGTAACTGAGCCCTGTGTTTGCCTCCCAGTGAGACAGGAACTTGAATTCAGCACGCACTCCCGTCCCTGTGTCCCCTCCCCCTCCCTCCAGTCCTCATCTGCCTTTACCCTGATTTGTGTAGTGATTGCATTCTGTTCACTATGGATATGTTTTCTCTCTTTTCTTTTGGTTTTTCTTCCTGTTTCTTTAAAGATAACAAACTATATTAAGGTATTTGGTCACATGTACTTTGTATATTATTTGCAACATCTCTTAGATTTGTCTCTTCTTATTTAAGTATTTATCCCCAACTTTTTTCAGTAGTTTTTAATAGTTTCTGAGGCCTTACATGCCTGACAGCAATTTTATTATGCTTTCATGTTTGAGCGACAGTTAGGCTGGATATAATTTTAAGTTCTTTTCTTTCACATTCTTGAAAATACAATCCATTATCTTCTTACATCCTATTAAAAATCTGGTATTCTGATTTCTATGCCCTTGTATGTGATCTACTTTTTTTCTGTGGAAGATTAAGAGTATCAAAGCCAAAGAAAAAATTCTAAAAATGTTATCATAATTTTAGCTGTAGACCTTTATCTCTCCTTTTGGTATCCTCTGAATCCTTTCTATTTAAAATCTTTGAAAATCGCTAAGAAATTGGTCCTTATTTTTTAGATATTTTATCCTTTTCATTTTTATTTATCTCTCTTTTTGTAGTTCCTATTAGGTAAATTCCTTCTATTTCTATCCTCCATATATGTTAACATACATATTGTTTTTTCCTACCCTATTTTTCTTCTAGAATAAGACTGCTGTGGTCTTCAGTTTGCTAGTATGTTCCTCAGCTTTTGCTTCTATCCGTGATGTTATTGAAACTGTTACGTTTCTTATTCCATATATTTCTGCTCAATTAAAATAGTTTTTTTTCTTATTTTGTATTGCTAATATCTTCTCCATCACTTTAATATGTCCATTAGAACAATTTAAATTTTTGGTGTGCCTATTCTAAGTTTTTCTCGCCTGATAAACTTTTATTCTAGCATTCTTTTTCTTTTAAAAAAGTCATGCTGGTTAAATGTTTTGGACTCATAAGTTCATGTTTCCTTGTCATGTACTTTGTGGCAAATTCACACTCGAATTCCTGTTCAGCCCAGTGATTTTAGAAATGAATTCCAAGAAGTTTTAAAAAACAGCAATGCCTGGAACTCTGGACATTCTAATTTGAATGTGCCCTGAATATAGGGATTTTTAAGATTGTTACTATAATTATAATTTAGATTGTAATTCAGTGGCCTGAGGAGTTTGGAGGGGAAACGGTGGGGAAAGAAGGGCTAAAGTCAGTTCCGACTTCGTTTGTTCGGCTTCTCATGCAGGGCTCTGTGCTGCGTGGATCTTAGCCCTGAGAGTACCTGGAGCGTGGATCTGAGTCGTGGCAGGAGACACTGTGTCTCAGGCCGTGGCGGGGAGAGGCAGGAGCCAAGCTCCAGCTGTGTGTCCCTCCTATCTGACCCTTCATAGCCAGGCTGGCTGCCTCTGCTCCGGGCCACAGCAGCCCTCTTCTCTCTCTCCTCCCCTCCCTTCCACCCCTGTCCCCACCCCCTGCCACCAGGATTCATCATTTTCTTGTTAGTTTCTCTCTTTGAACCTCTGTGATGATCTTGGAGGAAGAAGCCAACAATCAGTGCTAATTGTAGCAGTTAGAACTGACAACTCCAAATAGTAGCATTGTTTTCATGCCTGTTATAACTGTAAAGATTGATGTCTTCGTGATTAAGGGTCTCATTAAAAAAATACATAATTTAGTGCTTCCTCTTTGGAATTCCTCCCTGAGAAAATGATCTTAAAAAATTCTTAAAGCTAGTATTTCCTGCTTTTAAATAAGACCTTTGTAAGCAGTTTTGGCAAGTAGCATTCTAAATATATAAACTATTAGCAAAGGAACTATTATTCATATAGTAGGGTTAATAGTTACGGCTGCGTGTAATTTTTACTTTAAACAGTTTCATGTTTAGACTGATTTTTCATTCTTAGTATACTGGTACCCTCATTTGTACTCTGTAAAAGAATTTTTGACTAGTTTAATAAAGACTCACATTTATACTCATTTTCCGTAGATAGCGGAGTTGGAGCGGGCATTGACTCCTATTATGAATATCTATTGAAAGCCTATGTCTTGCTTGGAGATGACAGTTTTCTGGAAAGATTTAATACAGTAAGTTGATCCAGTTTTGTATTAACTCTAGAGCCAACTTAATCTGAGTACCAGATTTTGATAGAAACCCAATGATGAGGGACATTCTGAAAGTAATTATTTTTAAATGTGTGGCAGGTTTTTAGTCAATTTTTCCTGGCGGTGTCGGACAGGGACAGGGGAAAAGCCACATACATTCCAAAAACTAGTCTACAGAATAGTTTTATTTTCATCTCTTGTCAGGAAGTTTCAAGATCTGACAGTAAGTAATATGTAGATTTGAGTTTTACCTAATATCTCATACAAAGAAGAGAATTTATTGGAATAAATTACTGGTTCGCTTTTGCCTTTTTTGGGGGGGAAGTTTGGTCCTCGATCACATCAAGTATGTAGGGCTGTGGGAACGAAACTTGGAGAATCTTCCGGGTGTTCATTTTAAAAGCTGTCTGCAAGTCTGAAGTCTGGATCAGGGCCATGGGCAAATTAGGGGATGGGGGATATTATTGAACCCGGTTGGATCACCTTTGTCTGTAATTGAAGGAAACTGAAATGAGCAGACTCATTGGCCATATCACTGTCCTTTTTGAAATACTCCGCCGTTTCTTGGCCCTCCCATCAGTTCAGCCACATTACTGTGAGACAGTGTGGCACAGGGGTTAAAGGTGCAACAGTTTTCCTGCCTGGGTTTCAGTCCTGGTTGGGCCACTGGTTTTGTGACTTTGGTCAAATAACTCTACACCATTTGCCTCTGCTCCCCCTTCCACAAAACGTGAGTTCTGGTACTATGTATTTATAGAGTTTGGGGAGGATTAAATGAGTTAATGCATAAGGAGTGATGAAATAGTAGATGAGTTAGGGGAAAAAAACTACTAAGAGTGCTAATAAGCCATCAATTGGATTATAACAAGATTTTCTTGAGGTTAATGAGGAGAGGTATTTTTTTTGGCTCATCATTCATGGACTCGAACAGCTCAGCTTGTTACAGCTGAGGAACAAGCAGGAGAAGAAGATAAAAGAAGGGGAAAGAGTTTAGGCGCCTGAACGGCAGACCTAGCAGGATCGCAAGAGCAGCAGTGGAAGTTAGATGCGTTAGTTCGGGTAACGGTGAGCACCAGAATATTGTTAGCCAAGAGTCCAAAGTTCCCAGACACAGGAGAAAACAAACTAATTCTGTTAATCTAGAAGCCTGAAAGTACATTTCAAGAGGATGTAAGAGCGCCCTTGGGCCACAGGGGTATACTCACCATGGGCTCATCGCACAGCATAGCCAGACTCAGATCTGCTCCCCCGAAGGTCCCATGTCAATGGCAGTCTTTCATATTCTGCATCAGTTAAAGCACACAGGGTGTCTATACCATATGTTTTAGGAAAATTGCGTATATAAATAAATATTTACATAATAACGGTGTTGTAAATGTATTTATAGTGTATGAATGCAGGTTTAATTTCTTTGCAGTGCTGTTTAGTGAAATCCTGTGTTTAGAATAGCTCCCCTCTTTTGGTCTCCCTTGCTGAACACACGCTGTGCTCTTGCAGCACTACGACGCCATCATGCGGTACATCAGCCAGCCCCCGCTCCTGCTGGACGTGCACATCCACAAGCCGATGCTGAACGCTCGCACCTGGATGGATGCTCTGCTCGCCTTCTTTCCAGGTCTGCAGGTAAAACGCCACACACTCTGTTGTCCTGACACTGAAGTGAAATGATTATAACTAGTGCCCTTGTGATCTCTGAAAGAGAATTACCAACAGAGTCACATTTTAAAATTGTGTAAAGCTACATTTCCTTGCTATAAAATGATTATAATTAAAAAGGCAGGTAACGCTGTTGTTAATGTTGACTTTTAGGTCTTAAAGGGGGATATTAGACCTGCTATTGAAACTCATGAAATGTTGTATCAGGTGATTAAAAAACACAATTTTCTACCAGAGGTAAGTAAATTATCTTTGGGATTCTAATTTAAATATATAGTAAATTGCTAATTTTAAGGTAGAAAATGTCCATTTTTTACTATTTATTTTTTCTGCATTATATAGTTTATTTTTGGCTTACAGAGCATTGTATATGTTTTTTCTTCGTGTATTCAGAAAAGTCTAGTTTATGGTAATTCTGACACTTGACTTATTTTATGTAAAAAAAATCCTGAATTAGTTTCTCAACCCTTGCCAATCCATAGCATTCCATGTTATTTCATTCTAACTTTTACATATACCCACCAGGGAGACCTTTTTACTTTTTATTTTCTGAGGCTTATTTTATAGAAATGATATACATCGACTGTCCTCTTGCTGATCACACATGTTCCCTGGAAGTATGGGGAATACAGTTCTTCCTTGTGCTGATTGACGGTTACTCCCCCTGGCTTTTATACACCATCAGTAATAGGTGTTCTTGCTAGCTTCATATGGCAAGATTTTAGTAACATACCTTTTGGCTTTCCAGAGGTGTCCATTAAAAATCTGCAAATTTGCCCTGGCTGGTGTAGCTCAGTGTATTGAATGCGGGCCTGTGAAGCAAAGAGTCACTGGTTTGATTCCCATTCAGGGCACATTCCTGGGTTGCCGGCCAGGTCCCCAGTAGGGGGCGTGTGAGAGGCAACCACACACTGACGTTTCTCTCCCACTCTTTCTCCTTCCCTTCCCCTCTCTCTAAAAAATAAATAAGTAAAATATTTGAAAAAAAATCTCCACATTCATGAATGGCCTTATTCTGCCCCTGCTTGTTCCCTGTCCCCGGTGAGAAACCCAGGCATCCCACCAAGTGCTTGGGAATGCTTCCCCCAGGGTTTGCCTCGGAGAGTAGCATTTTATTAGCCTTCAGGTGAGTAGGACTGAGCATTGTAGAAAATTCACATTCCCTCAGAATAAGCTAAAGCTTCAACTGAATACATATTATCACCATGGAGATTTTATTTGGTTCTCATAAGGGTTTTCATTGGCCTTTAAATCAGTTGGCTCTGTTACTGAGTACATTTCAAGTGAGACTAGTTTTATTTTTAAATAATGCCTTCCTTATTCCACAGAGAGTTTGAGGTTGTTATAAAAGAAAGCATAAGCAAAAATAGAAACATGAGAACTGGGGACTCCATTCAGAGAAAAAGTGGAAATGGGGAAAGAAGACACAGCTGTGTGGGCTGTCGGGCCCCGTGTGGTGTCCCTGCTCAATGTCACAGTGTCCTCTGAGCTTCCCAGCAGCCACAGTGATGGTTCAAATTTCATCCAATAGAAGCCTTAGCAAAGACGAATTGTGGTTTTTCAGCAATGGAAATTTTTATTGTGTAGATGAAAATTTTTATCAGTATTCTAATTATTTTTACTCGTTTTTGATCTAATTTATATACTACTATATATTCTAGGCCTAGTTTATTATTTCTTAATCACTCTTTTTTTCTATTTGTATATTTTTTTCTCTAGGCATTTACCACAGATTTCAGGGTACATTGGGCTCAACATCCTTTAAGACCAGAATTTGCAGAAAGCACCTACTTCTTATATAAAGTAAGCTAATTTGCCTTCCTTGTTGCTGGTTTGTCTCCCCACCCCCATTTGCTATTGTGAGAGTGACTGGGCTTTCCAAGTCCTCGTTCAGTGTTGTAGTGGTTGGATATATCAGGGCTCATACTCATCCAGCTCCGAGAGTTATGGGGAGATGCAAGAACTGATACTTGAGTTTTATGCCTTTTCATGATAGCCATGTAATCATTTCTTTAAAGAGAAATTTTGTATTCTAGAGCTGCTTTCTAAAGCATGCCTCTTGCCTTCCTTTAATCAGAAAACCTTTTGGGCATTAGAAACTTACTGTAAAGGTTAAGATACACAATTGGATGGCTTTCCAGTGGTGTGTTTAAGTCATTCTGTAAAGCAGATTCCATGGCTTATTTTCAGAGCTAGGTTCTGTGTAACTTGTGTTCCTGTGCCTGATACAATGCCTGGCACCTAGTAGGTACTCAATAAATATTTGAGAAATGAATGTATGGTAATACATAAGCTATATATATGTGTATATATTCTCCTTTTTAATAGGCTACAGGAGACCCTTACTACCTTGAAGTAGGGAAAACACTTATTGAAAATTTAAATAAATATGCTAGAGTGCCTTGCGGATTTGCTGCCATGAAGGATGTTCGTACTGGAAGTCATGAGGACAGGTAAAACATTCCCCGAAATGCGGCTGGTGGAGTTTGGACACGCGTAATCTTCTGCAGAGGGTGTGTGAAGGTGCAAGCCATAGTTTGTTGGTTTTATTTTTAATTCTCCTGAATAGGCTCATTTTAAATTGTTTGAAAAGTTGATTTTTATCATAGTACCTGGCATATAGAAGATGCTCAAATGATTTTTAAAATGATGAACAAATGAGTGTTAAATATCAGAACCTTGGTATTAGGAGTATTAGGAATATTGAGGTTTTATTTTTCCTTTGTAATAGTTTTTTTATGTTACATAAAATGTTAGAAATTATCAAGGTGCTGATGAATAATCTGGATTATGATTTGTGTTCGGTCAAGAGTTCCTCAAAAACAATGTCGTGGTCAGCGTGTGTATGATTCTGTTGCAGATTTGGAGGCTGGGAAGGGTGGTTGGCGGTTTCTGTGTCGCTGGGCACCAGATAGATGTAGACGGCACGAGTTACTCCAGATACAAAAAGCACACTTTGGTTAAGGTGATACTCAGTAGCATTTCTGTTCTGAGATCCCTTATCTGGCTATTTTAACTCTCCAGAACATAACAACATACTGCTACAAGAATAGTAAAGCTTCTTTGTTTATTTGGTTAGCAAATGTTCATTCCACAAATACTTACCCAGGTGTCTTATGTGCCAGAGTTACAGTATTTTCGAGGATTAATGATATGGGAACCTGTCTTTTCTGTCATTGAATTGCTCAGGACAGGCAGATAAATGGGCTTTAAAACATTGTGTAAGTGCCATGAAACGTATTAAAGGGACATGAAATGCAAAGTGAGATGTGGCAGTCACTGAACAGTTTCTGGAAGGTCCTGTGTCCTTCATCTACTCGGGGTTGTCCCTTGGTCCTTCCCTCGGAGTATTAGGTTGTGGTTATTAGCACTGGCACCTCCTTCTCTGACCACAGCTGATGCACGAGAAAGGACAGGTTCCCGGAAGCAGGCAGAGAGCAGCAGCAGGGGATGGGAGCAGACAGCCTGTGTGTTCATCCTGCTTCCTGCGTTCCAGGCACTCTTCTAACGAAGCACTTTGGATGTTGACAACAACCTTCTGATGTGGAATTTCTATTATAATCTTCCTTTTCCACATGAAAAGACCAAGGCACAGAGAGGTTAGAGAACTTGCCCAAGGTCACACAGTGAGTAAGGTTAAGTCATTCTAATCGAGGCAGATTGGCTTTTGACTACAATGCTAATGAGTCACTTAACTATATGCCAGGCACTGCACTTCATTAAACTTGAGGACAGAAAAATAAATTAGAATCAGTCCCTGTCCTCTCATGACTTGTAGTCAGCGAAGAAAATGGTGTGTAAAGAATTAATTGCAAATTACAGCCATGCGGTAGGTAGGTGCTGCAATAGAAAGAGGAGTAGTAGGTTGATGTATTGGAGAGGAAGCCATGATTTACTGTTCAACAAGTTCCAGTTTTCTGAATTTAATATGCCCCCCTACTGAATATTCCTTACATGACATTGTTTCAGGAGCTCTTACCCCACTGCCTTTGCTCCATTCTGATTGTATTCCAGCATATGCAGCGTCTCTTAAAATAGCATGTCCAGAACAAACCACGCTCAAGACATGCCTGGCACATCAGCACCGTTACCGTCTGGATCCAGGCCCCAGGTTGCTCATTTTCCCAGGGGCCGATGGCCTTGCCCTCTATGCAGTTGAGGGTCGCTGTGTCACCGACTCCCTCACCGCAGCGCGCACCCGTCTTCGTCATAGGGTGCTGCTGGGCGAGCTTTAGATCTTTCAGCAGCTTTACTGTGTTCAGCTCACAGTGAACTTCTGGCCAGTTGATCTCAGACACCTCATTATGGCCTGGTGACAAATGGGCGTCCCCCACCCTGCTGTGCAACTGGCTTTTTTTTTTTTTTCACTGTGAAGTAGAACTTTACACTTATCCTGGCAGAATTTCATGGTTTTTTGTTTGGGGTTTTTTTTTAGTGCTTTTAGACCAAAAAGAGAACTTGATTCTCGTCTCAGTCGTCCACTGTATTGGCTAAGCTTCCTGTGTTTAGTGATCTGCAGTGTAGGTAAGCATGCCTTAAAAAACGTCCACCTACAGTTTCGGGAAGGATGTTGGCCAGGACCACGACTTCGCCGCTTTCTCTTATGAGCTCCCCGCCTGTGGCTGCCTCCTCCCCAGCGGGCCTTCCAGTGCGTCGCCTGGCTCCCCAGTGTCCTCACACACACAGTTTTGCACACAGAAGTGTCTGTAGTTTCCTGATAGTGGGTGACCACTGGACAGAATTTAGATGGCAAGAGGAATATGAGGATCTTCCTAAGACACTTCCCCTGCTTGACCGCCCTAAGATAACCACCACTGGAAATTTGATCAGCAGTCTTCCAGACATTTTTAACACCTGTGTGTTTGCACGTGTGTACATGTTTATTGGTTTTTAATACAAATTAGGTAGATAAGACACCCAATGTGCCAGTTTTACCCGACTCATACGTAGTGACCAGACCGTGTCCTTATTCTTTTCCTAGTGTTTCCAGGTGTTTCTCTGTTTTGCAATCAGTTCTAGAATTTGTCAAAAATCAGCATCCTGCTTGTGAGTCTACTGTTCTCAAGCTGGCAATTGCTTGTAATAATAACTGTCATTCCTTCAGAAAATGTTAACTTGTCGTAGGTGTGCGGCAGGTTGAAAGGGAAGTGGCTTATCTGTTCTGTAGAGACTGACATCTAAAATGTTCAGAAGGGTTCTGAAGCATGTCAGGTGAGTTGTTTCAAAGTAAAACATCATTAATGTGTAGGGAGAAGAATGATAGTTCTGTTTTTGAGCTCGTATGTATATGCCGGGTACTATGCTACATAATAGATACAGTATCTCATTTAGTGTTTACACAAGTGTTAGGTATGTAGTGATGATGTTCTTGACAGAAGAATGTGCTGAAGTTCACAGTCCCTGTACAATATAGCCATGGTCAGGGGAAGGTCTTTTCTATTTCCAAAGTTCATTACCACTATGTTTCACAACCTTTCAAGTTCATTCTTTAGTAATGCTGTGTACACTTGCATTCAATTCATTAAATGTCTGTTGAGTGCCTACTGTGTGCCAGGAGTTGTGCTTGGCCAGAGGTATGAGACTGTGCAACCTGTCCAGCAAACTGCAAGTTATTTATTACTGTCAAAAACCAAGATGCTCTGGGAGGTGGTCCTTTAATTAAGGCTCATATTACTATCACTCCAGCTAATAGCCATGCTCTTTTTCTGCCACTTTTAATTGTATGAAAGCTTTTAAAAATTGTTTATTAAAACATTATAACATTAAATAGTCCATAACATTACATATTTTTATTGCTTTTATTTTTCTTTACAGGTATTTATAGTTATACTCTATGTGATTTGTGCTATTCTTTTTTCATGCAACTTTTTGTACAAAGCCCTTGCCTTCAAAGCCTTTTTGTTTATCACTTAAATAGCTGCATAATAAACTCCATCAAAGTTGTATTACTTCATCCCATTCAGTTAATATTAATTGAAGATTATACGGCTCCCAGTAGTAGCGTTTGTCTGCATTACCTCCCAGCTGTTGGTTCCCTATAGAAGAAGTGGAACTCTCCCTCACTGGAAGGCCAGTGGGAGAATCTTGTCTGCAGGATTGGCAAGATTCAGGGTACCCGTGTGGTGGGCAGGTGCACTGGTGGTTTGATTTCTTTGGGAAGTACGTGGAGTCAGGGCTGACACCCCCGGGGACGGATGTGTTCTCTAGTTCCTTGGACGTCCACATTGGTGTAGGTAGATCAGCGCCTCCACGCTGGTAGACCAGCGCCCTGGACTCTGGCCTCCAGGTCGTTGGCATTAGCATACCCCTGTGCTCTTACATTTACTTGTGTCCTCTTATTTTAGAATGGATTCTTTCTTCTTGGCTGAAATGTTTAAATATCTTTACCTGCTATTTGCGGATAAAGAAGATATTATTTTTGACATAGAAGATTATATATTCACAACAGAAGCTCACCTTTTACCTCTTTGGCTCTCTACGACAAATCAAAGCACCTCTAAGAAGAACACAGTAGGTTACATTTTTAATCACAGTCTTATTTCGTATTTTCTTCTCTGAGTTTGTTCTATTTTTCCATGTGGAAACTAATCCGTGACTAGAATTCAATAAATGTAGTGTGGTAGGAGGAAAAATATACTCGCTGTTTATTGCATCCTGTATACACTTACATGTTATTTAACATCTCCTTTGAACAAAGTACAGTGTTAGGTGAAATAGTCATGCTCACGTAACTTTCTTTTGCATCGTAGACTTCAGAATATATAGAACTGGATGACAGCAATTTTGATTGGACTTGTCCAAATACTCAGATTCTCTTCCCTAACGACCCGCTGTACGCTCAGAGCATTCGTGAGCCCTTGAAAAACGTGGTGGATAAGAGCTGCCCCAGAGGCATCATCCGAGTGTAAGATGTTTGTGTTTTGTACCATTATCAGAGTTATTCTTAGTAGATGCCAGGGAACACGGGGGACATAGAAGGGTGGCGACAGTCGTCTCTCAGACCAAAGCTGTTGAGGTGTGTAGTCTTGCTGATTCAAATAAAAACTGTGAGTAAAGTTAGATAGCAAAGTTTATTCTGCAGTGTCTTTTATTATTGTGAAAATTTTCTATTTATCTCGTTTAATGAACTTAATAGTCAGTGGGCAGCATATAATTTCAACTTGTATAGCTCATTTTTATATGAAATGGTTTCATCAAATATTTTCATGTATCTTGTATATGTAGAAAATATTCTTCCTTTTACCTGTAGTTTTTGTGTAGTGCAAATATAGTTTTTCTTTTGTTTGATTTTATTTTTTAACAGGGTGCTTATTCTTAGTTGTTAAGTAAGATTTTGGCCTTAATGAGTTCATTTTTTCCAAGTGGTTAAATTAGAAAGGCCATTAATAGAAAATAAAAATAAAAAATTTAAGTGAATGTTATCATTCACCGATACAACTATTGTTTTGCTTTTAAAATATGGGGAGAAAAAACTCTTTTTTAAGGAAGAAATCAGTAGTAACACATCCCAAAGCCAATCTACTCTGTGCTTTCAAATGGTTCTAATTTTGCTTACCAATAATACCTTACAGATAGTATACATGGTTTTACAACTGTAAAATAATTATATTTAAAAGCTGTACCACTTATTAATAACCTAAGATATATATATAGGCAAATGCCTGTTTTCAGTTAGTCCATTTTCACTAGTTCTAAAACTAGCAGTTTTGCAAGGATCTAACATTATTTTTATTTGCTTTATGTTTTTCCCCAGTTCTGATTTGTAGTTTTTTAAGCCTTGCCTATCATTGCTTTTAGCAGAGAGGAGAGTTTCAGGAGTGGAGCTAAACCCCCTCTGAGAGCCAGAGATTTCATGGCCACTAACCCCGAGCACTTAGAAATCTTGAAGAAGATGGGGGTGAGTCTGATTCACCTGAAAGATGGGAGAGTCCAGTTGGTTCAACATGCAATCCAAGTAAGACATCCCTGCGCTAATCAGGTCCAACTCCGCTGTTCTGGTCTCATTTGCTTAATAAGAGAATGACATTGGGCTTTTAAAAACCATTTGAAGTGTGGGTTAAAATTATAGACTCAACATTTTAGGACTTGAAAATATGTTGGAAAGCCATCCAATTCGGCCCCTGCATGCTGTAGTGGGTCCAGTAGGTTGGGTAGTTTGCTTTAGTTAATAAAGTCAAGTACAGGACTCACGTCTCAGTTCTCTGTTTCTCCGTCTCGTGTCTGCATTACCTTTATTTACAGCAGAGTCTTGTGATCATTGGTTTTAATATTTGTATCCATATTTTACATTATGTTAGTTTCCAAAGAGCTACTGAATCTAAGTATTTTATTCCCTATAGAAATCAAAATTTGCATTCATTTGTTTATGCATAGAAAAGATAACATGTCTTCTGGGGAAGTTTTTATTGATTTTTACTTGAAAAGTATTTATAACATGGGCTCTTTAAAATACTCATCTTATTAGTACATTACTTCTAAGAAAACTACGTAGTTTGCTAAGTAATTTCAACCTAGGACCATTATCAGGTGTCTGTAAATCTTACATTCAGACCTCCCACAGCCTCCCCTGCCCCTCACATTTCTGTCTCATCTTCGTTCTTGCCACGTCCACCCTTTCTTCAAAGAACGTTCTGCCTGCTTCCTTATGCGTCACTCACTCTTTCACTCCTCAGTAGGAGGAGTGGCATCTCTAACGACATTCAGGCCACCAATGACATCCTTGCCACCCACTGGCCTCCTAATCCTTATGGGATGGAGCTGTTCTGTAGCTGTTGACTGACCCCTTTCTGAAGCAGTCCCTTTCCTCGGCCTCCAGGGAAGCCCAGCTTAAAGGTTGTCTCCCCAGGGTCTAGTCAAGTGCTGGAATGGAATAGTCACCTGATAAATATGTTTTGAATTTAATCTGGTAGTTGGTTCATAATTTCAAAGAAAGGAAGTATGGATCCGGTATGGGTTTTACTTCCTGAAAGGGGAGACCCTGGTGAAAACTAGCAAAATGAGCATTCAGTATTGGGTGACAGTCAATTCTCAATTTGTATCAAAAGTGTTTTATACAACAGTAAAAAAGATATTGGTAAAAATTACAGACATAATTTCCAGGAAATATTTCTAGAAGTAATATTTTTTTTTAATTTATTGAGTTATTTTTCAAGTACAGTTTTCTTTTGTCAATTTCTCCCATCCCAACCCCCCCTCCGCCCCGTCTCCCCACAGACCTCATCCCTGTGTCTTTCATACTTGTTCTTCAAAATCCCTCCTCGTTTTTCCCCTTAAATTCCCTTCCCTCTCCCCTCTGGTCGCTGCCCACTTGTTCTCTATTTTAGTGTCTTTGTTTTTATTCTATTTGCTTATTTTGTTATTTAGCTTCCTGTTAAAGGTGAGATCATATGGTATTTGTCCTTCAATGCCTGGCCTATTTCACTCAGCATAATGCTTTCCAGTTCCATCCATGTTGTTGCAAAGGGTAGTAGCTCCTTCTTTCTCTCTGCTGCATAGAATTCCATTGTGTAAATGTACCACAATTTTTTGATCCATTCATTTACTGACGGGCACCTAGGTTGCTTCCAACTCTTGGCTATTGTAAATTGTGCTGCTATGAACATTGTGGTGCATAGGTTCTTTGAAATTGATGTTTTAGGATTCTTGGGATATAATCCTAGCAGTGGAATTGCTAGGTCAAAAGGCAGGTCGATTTTTATTTTTCTGAGAAAATTCCATACTGTTCTCCATAATGGTTGTACCAGTCGTAATATTTTTTAGAATGAATTAGGCCATAAATATTTGGTAGGGACCAAAACTGAAAAGAGAAGATTTAGAGTGAAACACTATAGTGCAGTAGTACTTGAGAAATCAAAAAGTTGAATGTTTCCAAAAAAAGAAAAAAAAAGGGGGCCGTTCCCTGAAAGGATGACGTCGAGTTTCTTTCCCAGGCCGCTAGTTCCGTCGACGCGGAGGACGGCCTGCGGTTCATGCAGGAGATGATCGAGCTGTCCAGCCAGCAGCAGAAGGAGCAGCAGCTGCCCCCGCGGGCCGTGCAGATTGTGTCCCACCCGTTCTTCGGCCGCGTCGTGCTGACGGCCGGCCCCGCGCAGTTTGGGCTCGACCTGGCCAAACACAAGGAGGTGAGTGCACTCACCAAGTGCTAGTGGCGGCCGAGTTAAAAATGCCATTAGAGTGTTGTCTGATTTCTTAGTCTCTTTTCAAACTTAGTAGTTTGAATTCATTGTAAAAACCTAAGTCTTCAATGTCTCAGAATAAAGTTAAAAACATATCTTAAGGTTTTTGAGTCTTAGTTTATATACACGATATGTTTTCAGAATTTTATGTAAAATATTGTTCCGATACTGTCCCAATTCTTGGTCTCTTCTCTAAATCAGTACCTTGAATCTAAAATGGTTTTCAGTTTGTTTTTTTTTTAACAACTGCTAAAACTTTCTCTGGACAAAAATCAGGGTTGGAGGCTTAATGCCGAGGTGCTCAAGTGAAACATTTTGAAACCTCTTCTTTGCTCATCAGTTTTCGTTAGTGTTCGTGTATTTAATGTGGGGCCCGAGACAGCTCTTCCTCTTCCATTGTGGACCAGAGATGCCAGAAGGTTGGACACTTCTAAAGACATGCTTAAAAAACTCCTATTACCCCTAATTTAGACCAAGTCTAGTGTGCATTTTAAAGCTAGGTGGGTTTGCAGATTGCTTTGTCCAGTCAACAGCCCTTTATTGAGCTGCTGCTACATCGAGGCACTGTTTTAGATGGTTACTGTCTGTCAAGTTCACAGACTCTGTGAAGACCGTGCCCTCCCTCATCAAACTGACATCCTAGAGCAGTGGTTTCAAGCACGGTGCTGCAAGTCTGTGTAAAATACATAACACCCGACCATCCAGTCAGGGGCACTGACCTCTCTTCCTTTAGGTTGTCGGATACAGACATGACAGCAGCCAACACCACAGTAGCCACCTAGTGTGAATGAATCAAACTTATACCTACTCTTTTTCAGAGCAGCAAAACCAGCATTTTTTGGTGTGCTGCAGAATTTTAGTAATTAGTTTGTGTGCACCATGGGATGAAAAAGGCTGGACATCGCTGTTCTAGAGGGGCATTAAACACTGTCCCACCACCGTCTCTGCGGCCGGCGTTTGGTGTGCAGGCGGGTGCGCCGTGAGTCCGCCTTCAGGTCCCAGCGCTACCACTTACTGCCATTGTGTCCTGGGGCAAATTATGTAGCCCAGTCTCAGTGTCCGCGAGCGTGGAATGAAATACTGTCTGCACCATCTCGCTCAGGGTCGTTATAGAGATCAGGTTTAGTAGTTTATGTAAAATGCTTTATAAACGTCCAAGTACAATAGAAACATTGGCAGTGTGCTATGACCTGGAAAATGTTCAAAGCTAAAGTTTATGCAAAATATGTATGGGACATGATGTCGGTACTAAGAAAATGAGGTCCACCTAAAGCTCTAGATATGGAACTTTTTTAATGACTAGATAGTGATTTGAGAAGGTAAAAGAGTATTTGTCATCTTCATTTCTGACAGACGCGAGGATTTGTTGCAAGCAGCACACCGTACAATGGTTGTTCAGAGCTTACTAACCCCGAGGCAGTGATGGGGAAGATCGCTCTGATCCAGAGAGGCCAGTGCATGTTTGCGGAAAAGGCACGCAACATCCAGAACGCTGGAGCCATCGGTGGCATTGTTATCGGTACGTCGTCCTCCGCAGCAGCCCGTTCTGTTGACTAGAAGGAAGTCATTTGTAGGACTTTTCCTTTTGTTTTCCAAAATTGTACAGAAAGTTTATCGGATTTTTACTTCACTAGATGGCATACTGCGTAGGTAATCCAGCGACTCTCTCAGTGATTTCTGTAGGTCTCATATCTTTTTTGAAGGTACTTAGGGACAGGCGTGGAGATGAGTAGAGGTGAGTGGTAAAAACAGCCAACACCGTGGATAAGAAAAGGTGCCCACAGGATCCAGAGCCCCCAAGGGCAGAACTGCATCCTGCCGCCCCCATGGGGAGCCACCGAAAGTGTCTCTTCTGCCACAAAGACCTGGGTCTGGAGTCGGACCCGTGGCGGAGCACCCCTGGCTCTGCCACAAAGCATGGCATCGTGCCGGCCCGGCTTTCCTGGTCTGTGTCCTCAGCGGAGTGTTGTTTGAGCTCCAGTGACAATGGTGATCAATACCTTTCAGGTGGTTACAAGGTTTGAAGATAGTATATATAAAATGCGTTAGCGTAACAGCTGACATATCGGAGGGATAAACCCTAGTTGCTAGTAGATTTTATCTCCTTGGGCCTTTTCCCACCGAAATTACAAACTTCAAATCACTTCACTTGTGTATTTCAACCAGTGTTCTTTGATTTTCATAGAAAATCACTTAATACCATGACCCGCAGGCCATGACTGTCAGGGAAAACAGAACTTCTTCTGTGCTTTAAGTTGGGAGGGGTTCACAGTTAGAAAGAACCAAAAGTCCTGGTGTCACATCCTCATCGCAGAGTTGGTTCGTTTGCCAGCTTCTCTCACAGGGGAAACCCACTTTGAATCTTTTTCTATTTAGTAGGGATTTCCATTTTGAGTTTAGGGTAAGTAAAAATTATGACATTGAAAACATTAGGATTTATTTCAGTGAAAAGGTATTTACTGTTCCTTTTGTTTATCACATGTGGACACTCTGGTGTTGGTAACTTCATCAATGCATAAATTTCATTAGTTAAGTAAGTACTGGGAGAATTCGGCTTCCTAACTTCAATCAGTGGTTGGCAAACTCCAGCCTGCAGGCCAGCCACTCGCTGCCTGTTTCTGTAAAGAAGGTTTTTCGGCACCTGCCGTTCCAGCAGCTTACGTCCTCCCCGTGGCTGCCTCCCTGCCTCGGTGGCTGCAACAGAGAACTGAAAAGCTGCAAATATTCACCGCTTGGCAGATTACACAAAATGTTTGCTGGTGCCTGACTTAAATCCTTTTACCCTCCGCTATTTTTCGGACTGAGATTGTTTTTTAAAGAATTTAATAGCTTGACAACACTGTCATTTCCAACATCTCTTATTGAGAGTAAAGGTATATTAAAAATAAAGTCTGGAATGTATGTAGGAGATTTTAGAGTCCCCCTGTTTTGTGGTGACGTCTCTAATTCTCAGGTATTCTCCGCTCTGCAGGATTTTTCAGGTCAGACGTTTTCTGTTTATTACAGAATCCTATACTGAGTTCTGTGAGTTAGTCATTTAAGAGGCAATGGTCCTTATTCTCAGAAAATTTAATTTTTGAAGGGAAATTTTCTTGTGTTGTAGCTCGTTTTCCCTAAGTATTTTTTCATTTGTTTCTGATAAGGCATTTGGTTTTTAGTGGTTTTAATTCAATATAAATGAGCAGATTAGGGCTTTGTTGTTTTTTTTATTGCAAGTACTAGAAGTGCAAATTATCTTAGAAATCCTCTGGCTGCCAGAGACAGTTTATTTAAGCTGGTTTAGGAAGAGAGGTTGGTTTACGATATGCAAAGCGGATTATTTTCATTGAACCCAACAGTGAGAAATGAAAGTGAACATTCTGAGGAAGTGGAATTGGGCCCTGAAAGTCATCAGGAAACGTAATGAGTTCACGGTTTTCACATCTGTCTCTCTGGGTCCTGCCTGAGGTGCAGAGGGCTGAACTCTGCATTTCTTCGTAGTTCGGCTTCATTCTCCAGCTTCTCACCAGCCTGCTCCCTTTTTGCTCATCAGTTCCCAGATGGCCATTCCCACTGCTAACATTCCCACTGCTAACATTCCCACGGATTTCTTCATGTCACTTGCAGGTTCCCCAGAGACACTGAGGGTCAGGAGCCACCCTTTGTCTAATCAGTGGTTGCTAAGGGGTGGGTATTTTACATGATATTTTCCACTTAGCCGGGCCTATCACAGCAGGCCCTCTGAGAAGGGACAGACAGGTTCTCCAGGGAGATTGGCATGTGAGATTAAGGGTGGACATAACCAGTGTCACCAGTAAGAGTATTCAGCTCCCTGGCTGATGTAGCTCAGTGGATTGAGCACCGGCCTGTGAACCGAAAGGTCGCTGGTTCCATTCCCAGTCAGGGCACATGCCTGATTTACTAGCCTAAAGAAAATCTTTTTAAAAAACAGTATTCAGCTGTTCTACTACTATTATTTTTTTTGAAAGATTTTATTTATTTATCTTTAGAGAGAGGGAGAGGGAGAAAGAAAGGGAGAGAAACATCGATGTGAGAGAAACATCTATCTGTTGCCTCTCATGCGCACCCTATCTGGGAATGAACCCGAAACCCAGGCATGTGCCCCAGCTGGGAATCAAACCAGTGACCCTTTGCTCTGCGGATGACGCCCAGCCAACTGCGCTGCACCAGCCAGGGCCTGTGCTCTCAGCCGTGCGAAGTGATAGACACGCGCACTTCTGCTCACGCAGGACAACCACTGCAGTCCTGACTGTTCTCTGTGACTAGTACTTAAAACGCAGTTCGCATTTCGTGACTTTGCAAAAGAACGTTAAGCCATTAGAGGAAGTCTTAAACAACAGTAAAATTTCATTCACAGTTCTATCTTTGTCATCCAGCCCTTTAGATTTTTTCCATCTCTAGTCTTTTTCATAAGCATATGAAATTTTTATTCATAACTATAGAATTTTATGTTCCACTTTTTTTGAGTAATAATTTTTTCCATGTGTTCCATCCCGCAGTTCGCTGTAAGTTGTTTATGGTTGTTCACAAGTCTAGACAGCAGGCACTTCAGCAAACTTCCGTGGGCATAGATCACGTCACTGCCTTTGCACGATCTCCTCAGGAGAATCTCTGGGAGTAGAATTGGTGGGCCCAGGAATTGTTTGTTGGTTCTCGGTGCACAGAATGCACGCTGCCAGCAGGTGCAAAGCAGTAGCGGGGGGCAGGTGGCCCTCCCTCATGGGCCAGTGTTCTCATTCCGTGTGCTCTCTCCCTTTTTCTGGCTAGATGACAATGAGGGGAGCAGCAGTGACACTGCCCCTCTGTTCCAGATGGCAGGGGACGGAAAGGACACAGATGACATCAGGATCCCCATGCTGTTCTTATTCAGCAAAGAAGGAAGCATCATTCTGGATGCCCTCCGGGAGTACGAGGCGGTGGAGGTGCTCCTTTCGGACAAAGCGAAAGACCGAGGTGAGCGCACAGCGGCTTGTTTCCTTAACGCAGTTTGGCATCAGCTTGACTAGTTTTATGACAAAAATGAGTGACGAAAACTTAGTTTGGTTTACTGGCAAAATAAGGACAGTTTTTAGAAGACGGTTTCAAAATAAATTTGTCATTTGGAAATAAGAGTAGTAACATCGATTTGGCTTTGTTTGCCACATGAGGATGTTTTTAAAATTCTATTCTAATGCGTCATTTATAATTTTTGCTTTGATTCTGCCCGGTGATAAAAATACAGGAGATTGCCTCGGTGGAATCATTTTCCATCCGTAGGTACTCAGCACTTTCACTGATGCTGCACCTCACGAGTCTTGTATAAGGAGTGAAAGAGGTTGCGTGGAACGGTGTTGTCTCCAGTATAAAGGAAACTGGGCTTCACTAGCTGCCTGTGATCACGAGGCCACGATCCTGCGGGCAGTAGAGACTCAGCAGCTCCTCCCCCTGAGATCCTATAGGCCACGGGAGCTGTAGGCGGCCGCCGTCTGAACAAGATGGCACGCCTTGCTCACTCATGAGGGTGCATGAGGGAGGCCACATTGTCTGTGAGTGACTTGAATGGTCTTTGAAACCCAAATGATTGGGTAAATGCAAGGTCTAACTAGCGTTCTTGTATAGCTCCACCCCCAGGAGCGGGGAGAGCAGGTGGAGGTGGGCCACGGGCTGTGACGCTGCCCACGGCAGCAGTCTCTCCGACTGCCGAGACACCACGGAGGGAGCTGTGCTTCCCCACCCTCCTAGGTGGGTCAAGCTGTGCAGTTTGCACAGGGCCGTTGAATCCCCTGGGGTGTTTGTTTGACAGATATGAAGGAAACTGAGTCCATTCATTATAACTTCCCAGTAGAACAGTAAAAAAAAAGAGAAAAAGGAAAGTTCCGCAGTAATCTGCCACTGTCCAAATCCGTGTTTGGTCTTGTCTCTCTGTATTGCTTTACTCTCCTTCAAGAGTCTTTCAAATGCCTGTTGTATGAGAGCAATGCGATGAATAGGGTATGTGTGTGCAAGGGTGTCACACACGGGAACAGACGTGTGCAAGGGTGTCACACACGGAAGCAGACTGGCAGAGAGTTCTCGTCTTCTCTCATCCTCCTACGTACCTGGTGTTTGCTCTGCGCCCTTTTTCTAAACTCAGATCTTTCCTACATGTGTGCGTTTAGCGCATCCAACAGGCAAATTATTATTCCATATGACTCTTTAATGCCTTTGCTTTTCCCCTCCTATTTTCTGCTACCATTGGAATTTCAGCAGCAATATTAAAAGGTAAAATGATTCCAAGCTACATTATTAATAGTAGTAAGTATCTCAATTAATAAGCCTTAAATTATCTATGTATATATGTATGTGTATATGTGTGTAAATACACATATATATGCACACATACATGTACATATGTGTGATTTTGTTTAAGCGGATACCATGATCGTATCTGGTATAATACACTCCGAATTTTTTCATGACTAGTCAGGTGTTCGGTGATAATTCTTTATGGATCCTGTTATAACAAGTCCTATATGTTAAATATCCCATATAATGAGAATGCACTGTCCATGTTCATGCAGGAGTCACTAACAGAGATGTTGTTTCGGCATGTATTACTTTTGGTCACTTGTTACTTGACCACAGTGTAAAATATTTAAAATATTGACTTGTTTTAAAAACACATATGTCTGTAAGAGTGCATGGGCTTAGGACTAAGATTATGTAAAAGCATGTGCTTCCCATACCAGAGAGAGACTATACGAAAACAAGAATTCTATTACTACCAACAGAAATGATCTGAACAGTATTCCCTTAAGAACCTGGCAGTAGCCCTGGCTGGTGTAGCTCAGTGGATTGGGCGCGAGCCTGCGAACTAAACAGTCGAGGTTCGATTCCCAGTCAGGGCATATGCTTGGGTTGCAGGCCCGTTCCCAGTGGGGGACAGAGGAGAAGCAACCGTACATTGATATTTCTCTCTTCTTCCCTTCCTATCTAAAGATAAATAAATAAAATTTAAAAAAAAAAAAGAACCTGGCAGTAGAGGGGTTTTACTCAAACTATAGTACGTATTTTAGAGTTTTACTTGTCTATAAATTTATTGAACTGTGGTTCTATATTAGAGCGATCTTTTTAGCAAGTCTTTAAAAACTCCCCTTTGTGTAGCTATTTCAAGAACAATAGAGCTATATTAACTAAGTCAGCAATAAGTTACAGTGTAATTGTTAATATTAATGTAAAAAATGAATGATCACGGTTTTATGAAATCGAGTGCTTTGTTCAGTCAGCAACCTCCTCTAAGACGCGAATGTCTGCAGGGGCCGCCGTCAGCGTGCCCTGTGCCATGGCTGCACGCGTGGTCTTCTGCCCTGCAGCAGAGTCAGCTGGCGTGTTTGTCAGAGGGTAGATTCCCCGGTCCGACTGCGGACTGTAGAGTCAGACTTTCTGAAAGCAGAGAGTCAGAAGCTAAAGTTTTAAACAAGCATCCCAGGTACTTGTACACTTGGAGAAACACTGAACAGGACCAAGAAGGTAGCCCTTTTTATCCCCAGCTTGTGTCTGGAATTTTTATCCCCACCTTCCTTAAAATCCGAGCAACCCCGTGCCCTCCAGAGTGCCCTTCCTCAAACTCTCACTCCTCTAATAAGTGCTTCCCTTATAAAGTCACACGGTTTTGACTGAGCACCTCTCCCCACATAGTAATACAGAAGGAGAAGCCCCAGAGCAAGCCCCCAGTCCACTCCTCGTCCTGATGGTGAGGCCCAGCCGTTAGCATGGAAATGTCCACAGTCGCCCTGTCTCCCAGCAAGAGTGTTCGGACGCCGCATGGCGCAGTCCTTCTGATCCACGGTTTCCCTCTCCACGGCTTCAGTCACCCGTGGTCAGCCGTGGTCCAGAAATGTTAAATGGAGAATTTCAGAAACATCCAAGGCGCACATTTCAAATGGCCTGCAGTTCTGATTGTGAGCCATCAACATATGCGTCTGCATGTGCCCCCCCCACTCGTCACTTAGTAGCCAGGTCGGTTCTTGGATCTTTCCAGAGTTACATCCATATAACTTTGGTGCAGGATAGTGTTATAATTGTTCTATGTAATTATGAGTTATTGTTCTTAGTCTCTCACTGTGTCTGATTTATAAAGTGAACTTTATCATAGGTATGTGTGTAGGAAGACAGCACAGTACATGCAGGGTTTGGTGCTGTCCCTGGTTTCAGGCACCCACTGGGGGTCTTGGAATGTGCCCTTTGTAAATAAGACTGTGGACTACCGAACGCATATTTTTCCCCAGATGCACAAGTTTAGTCATTTATCAAGGGGAAATGTTGCCTTGTCAGGTCTAACCAACCGCACTTCTGAAATGTGAAGTTATCCACAGAAAGTTTAATCCTGTGTCTTTCATGTGTTCCATCTTTCCTGAGTATGAAGTTTATAAATGTACTCAATACCAGTCCTAACCCAGTGCCCATGCGCAGAAGACCCTGTGTGTACTTTTACTTTTAGCTCCAAGTTGAAACAGTTTACAATTAAGAATCAGTTTCCTTTTCTCGGTATTATTTCTCAAGGGGAAAACGATCTGTATTCCAGTGCATATCTCTGCTCGCAGTTTGCAGGGCGGGCCCACGGGGGAGCTGAGTGCAGAGGTTTGCAGGGCTGCTCCCGCCTTTGCGTCCGTCTGGTCCACAAGTGGGGGAGAGAAGAGACAGGGGCCTGGGCCTGAGCGGGCAGTGTTACCTCTCCTAAAACTCTGCCCCGCTGAAGCTGGTCGGGGTCACTGTGTCCTGAAGTTGAACTCCGGGAGTCAGGTTGCTGTTGCAAAGGACTTGATTCTGCAGAGAAAGTCTAGTGTGTGTGCAGATGGCCTCGCTGCCAGGAGAGTAGCACCCAGACCCTTCTCGGTTGCAGAACTGATGGTCACCTGCCCCCTGATCCACCACGTTGTGTATTCTCGTACATTTTTGCAGTGGCAAAGCCACCTCCCTCTTTCCGGGGGTGCCTTCTTAGTCCCTTCAAGCCCCTGACAGTGTTTAGCCATTCTGAACGCCGAGTTCAAATGCTGTCTTCCTCACGACATTCTCTCTCATTCTCATCGGTAAAATTGAAGGGCGCCTATTTGACTCAGTTCCCACTTTGACACCTGCATTACACGGTGCTTTTTTATCTGCTGCTCCCCTCTGGGGTCCTGGCTTTCGGTAAACTCCCACTGTGGAGGTGAGTGGTTACAGAACAGCCGGTCTCCGAGTGTCCGCCCAGGGTTCCCTTGTCCTTGCATGATCAGTACTTCGTTTTCTCGTGCTTGCATCTTGAGATTTTCTTCATTCTTCCTTTGCTTCCTGTGTTTCTGATACACCATTCCTGAATTTAACGGTGCAGTCATTACACTCTTAGCACTATGAGACTCCCTCCCATGACCAGAGGCACCAGGGAAGGCAGGGGTGTGGCAACGTGACCTCGTGGTCTCCCTTCCCTGCCTCTTTGTGTCGGTCAGACATCCCTCCCTGCACACTTGGTCCGTGGCTGCGCTCACTCTTCCTCTAACCTGCTTATTCCTGTGCTGATAATAAGACGCTTCGCTGTTTTGAATAAATTCAAATATTTGATAAGGCAGCTCTCTTCTCACTGATTCTTTTCAGAATTTCTTTATTTCCCTTTGATGTGTATTCTTCCACAGGAATTTAAAAATAACTCTGTCTGGTCCCGAAAGTAAACAAAACTAAGTAGAAATGGGATTTATTTTAGAATGTATAATTGCATGCTTTATGTATAAATGGAAACATTTTGTTAAATATTCAGACTTTCCATCTTAGGAACATACACTTACTTGTAAATTTAATCAGATCTTGCTTTTTATTTTCATTAAGATTTTACAGTATTAAGCAATATGGGTCTTTTTCATAATAAATTCAGTTCTATGTTTTGTAGCTTTTATTTTTGTTATGAACAGGATACTTCATTTTATTTCTAATCAGTATTGCTGCTATGAAGGGGTTATGCCTATTTATTTTATTTTTTACCTTCCTTATAAAATACTTTTATCTTAATAGTGTTTTCAAAAATTAAGGGTTGCTTTGAGTTTAAGTATACAACACAATCTGAAAATAAAGACAATTTGCTCTTTCCTTTTTTTATATGCACACTATTTTGTTACCCTCTTGTATTAGCTAGATTTCTAAAATAACGTTGTCTGATAGGTCGCCCCAGGGTGGGGTTTTTTTGTTTTTGTTTTTGTTTTGGCCTAAGTATAATCTTGACTGGTAGATGAGATAGCACCACGCTTTTTGCTGTCCTTCTAAAGTAGATTGATGCTGTCTGGAAAGAAACCGGAAGGCTTCTGTGGGTGGTCGTTCTCCCTTGAACTTCGGGTGTCCTAGCATCAGTGACCTGTAAGCAGCCAGCCCCCAGGTGGCTTTCCTGATTGTCTCATTAAACTGTATCCTTCTCACAGCTGGGGAGAGAGACTCTGTGGGCACGCCCCCTGCCCCCGTGCCCCCGTGCCCCCGTGCCCCCGTGCCCTTAACACATGACCGGGATAATCTAAACTTCCCTAGTCAGGCGGTCCTGCCTAATCAGTTGGTGTGTACAATGCACCCACCTGCACCTTCCCGCGGGCCTGCCTTTCCTTCGCTTTTCCTGGTTTTAGAAGAGGCCCATCTCCCCTCCCTTCTTTGACTAATTAACTCCACTTACCGGTTAAATCTCAGTTCAAGTGTCAGCTTCAGAAGAAACCTTCAGATCCCCTCATTATGCTTTTCTAACTCCAGAACACTGCCACGGAGTTCTCCACTTACTTTGTAATCCTTCGTGAGTGTCATCTCCCCCACCTGGGCTGGAAGATCCATAGAGGCAGGTCCAGTGTTTGGTTCTGCACGGTGTACCCTGACCGCAGAGACCCGGAGGGTGCCGCCTGTGGGCGTGGCTGCTGCTGAAGCACTGTCTTGTTGGAACCTACATCAAATGCCTCTGCTGGTTTCACTGTATGTTCATTAGGAGAGGGTGTAACTTAATATTCCACCTTCCAGTAGGTTTTAAATGATTGTAGCTAATAATTCGTAGAGCCAACAATAATGAAATAGGAGTTTTATAAATAATCTCATTTATTGTCTTTATGAAAATATTTAATCAATCACATCAATGCTCTTAAGTCATCCAGAGTTTTGTATTATGTGCATTTTAATGGCTTACTGAGTGGGAATTTTCATTTTCCAAAAGTCTACTATCTTAAAATATAGCAATGGTATGTGCTATTTAAAATTCTGTTTAATATGGAATCTTCCTTGAATTTAGATATTTAATAAATGTTTGACATATAACGCAAATTTATACACATTTTAATAGTATTACTGTTTAGTGTATTTCTTGGCATTTACTAATATCCATTGAAGGCAGTCTTATCACTTATTAGATATTCCTTTCAGTTCAGAAGAATATTTTCTAATGTTCCATTTTGCAAAATAAATGTACAGAAAAAATGTAATTGCACTTTTATTTCTTCACTTGATTGCACGAACCAGAATGCATTTGAAAGCGTGACAGGTTTTTAAGGGGAAACGTTTCACGAGGTGTGTTTCTTTCACACGCAGACCCTGACATGGAAAGTGAAGAGCAGCCCTTCTCTGAAAGCGATTCTCAGAACCAGAGCACCGAGCAGCTGGCGCTGGGCCCTCGGGAGGTGGGCTCGGTGGATCAGGAGCCCCCTGGAGAGAGCTCCGCGAACGCACCCCCAGAATCAGCACCTGCGGCAGCTGCAGACGAGGCCGCAGGTGTTTCTCCCCCTGAACAGAACTCTGATCCCCTGGAACACCACGAACCTACAAGCCTTGATGGTGAATGTACAGATTTAGATAACCAGCTTCAGGAACAGTCAGAAACTGAGGAAGATTCCAATCCCAACGTTAGCTGGGGTAAAAAGGACCAGCCCATAGACTCCATATTAGCAGACTGGAGTGAAGATATAGAAGCGTTTGAAATGATGGAGAAGGACGAACTATGACTCACTGAGGAATGGGGTGGTAGGCATTTAAGAAGAGTAGGTAAACTGTGGTTGACAGACACCTCGTACCAAGCAGGCTCTCCAGTGGGAGGGAGGCTTCGAGTGTGGCGATGAGCAACTGCGTCGTGAGCGGGATGGCTGGTTATCCCAGGGGCCTGGAGCTTGCTGTGTCAGCATTGACCTGGTTTCAGACTGTCCTGTGAGAAATGGAAACTCGCAGTCCCCTCGGGTGCCAGCACCCCAGGCTGGGAGAAGACCGCTGGGTGCGCCTGGGAACCAGGTTTCTGCAGGCTCTGGGGAGACAAGAAACAAATTCAGTTAGTAGCGGCGTGGGGGACCGGGATTTGTGTAGCGCCCCGATTAAAGGAAACACATGTGTGCTGTGGGCACTCTGGCCCGGCTGCCTTCACAGAAACACTCGAAGCGACCTAAGCGGTTAGGAGGCGGGTGTGTTGACGGTGAAAACACTCTTTGCTCATCTCTTTCACTTGCTTCATTGTACAACAAATGATGAAGATGACTTGATTTTTCCTCCCTCTTAACAATGTCCTTTTCATTTAAACCAAAGGTGAAGCCATTGTGCTTTCTCAGTGAGTGCTCTGCATAGTGACTAATCATTGGGACCAGGTAAAAAGGTCATATAATAATATATTGTGGAAATTGGTTACTTAATACTCCTGAAAAACGGAGCAAGGGAGAAACTGTAATGTTGCAATATGAACTTGCCATTGAGCCTTCCACCGGGAAAGCTGCGACTACTCTGAGAAGGAGCTTAATGTTATATATCCTTGTAGGGTAAGTGATGAGTCCGTCCAGTCCATTTCTCGTGCAGGTGGTCGCCTCCAGTCCTCAGCCTCACTCCCGCCCACGTTCAGTGCGCAGTTTGAGCCACACGGCCCGTGGAGCTGGTAGTAAATGCATTTGGTTCCAGTTTCATTTTAGGAAGTTACGATAAAACTGTGGTAGTCATCTGAAAGCCTGGGGTAATATATATTTTTTCCTCTTTTGAAACTATGATTTCTAAAATTGTACCTAAGGAATCTGTCACATTTTCTGTTGAATCATGGTTTTTAAGTTTGCTTTAAAAAAACATATTTCTTCTGATGTGGACTTGAAAATTAGTCTATGGTAACCTGTGTAAAAAATTTACACAGTAGCAACTAACATATAGCCATATTGTTTAATTTTTTTTTTTGGTGGCAGTCTGGTGCTGGCCACATTGAAGTTTTAAATTTGTTGTTGATGTCTGTAAACAGCCCTGTAGTTGAAATAATTGCTTTATTCTGTTTATTTATTTTTAACGACTTACCTGAATCAGTTCTAAAGGAGTATTTGTGAGACTTCATTTTATCTCTCTTTGCCACGACATTGCCTGGTGACTTTCTCCCAAAACAGCTGTGAGGCGCAGGTGGCCTGTGAATGGGTGTGGAGCCGTTGAAGGGACAGCAGCGCTGTCTCGTAGTTCTGTATATTCGTGTACAGTGTGTCTTAGGTCCAGGTGAACGCACTCTTTTACAAGGGGCTGAATATCTGCTTTCAGAAACCCCAGCGAAACCTAACTGGGTCCGTGAACAATAAATCTCACACGGAATTCACTTAGGCGGGGGAGGGGGTGGGCAGTGGGGAAAGAGTAACAGACAAGAACTTTATTGGCCCTCAATTAAACCCGACACCAGAATGGATATTTTTAGTCACTGCATGTGAAATCTGGTGTAAGGGGATAGAACTATAATACGTAGAGTACACAAAAGGGTAGACCCAGTGCTTTGTTCACCTTAATTACAAAGCTGCCAACATAGCCGAAGCCTCGTCACTTGCCTGGATTTGTAGTGCTGGGGCTTGGAGAAAAGGGGCAAATGTTCCTCTGAGAGACTGACTAGAGAAGCCTTATGTGTAGTGATTTGTTTCTGTTTGTATCTCAGAGCCATTGTTGTCTAAATCTCAATTATCTAAAGTTGTCAAAACAAAGGCATTTTTTTTTCCCCCAGCAAAGGTTTTGTGGCATGTAAGGTAAAGCCAGCTTACTGCTGCTCTCCCTTCCTTTGGCCATAAGGGGGAGCTGTTGCCATTCATTGAGGTCTAGAAGCAAATTGCTCATTTGTTTAGGAAAGCAAATCCTTAAAAAAAATTTTTTTTTTTAAAGGGAAGAAAAAAATCAATAAGTTATATTCAGCACCCAGAAGGAATTATACTGGATTTTTTTCCCCATTTAAGAAAAGAAGGTATAAGGTTTGGCTTCAAAACTGCAACATTGAGATCGACTCTCCATTTCTTATTTGACATAATGCCATTAAGTTGTTTCTGAGCTCATTAAAAAATTCCAAAGCACTAGGGCTTTTTTTACATTTTTCTTTTTAAAATACCACCTATAGAGATTTTATTTACTTCCTAAACATTCCGGGGGTTCTGTGAAACCCTGGATTTTAGAAACATCTGGTCTACCTCAGTTAAATGTCGACTGCATAGAAACAGAGCTGAAGTGATCGCCACAGCCATGGAATTGTGGGGCTAAGAAGGGTCTACACAATGTTTACAAGCCCAGAATCAAGGGAGGGTTTTATCCAGAAGTGAGACATTAGAACAAGTATTTAATTCAGGTATTTTCCAGTTTTAGCTTGTTTACTAACTAAAAATAGCTGTAGTTTTCCTGCTTATCGAAGTCCATTGAAGTGATATACCCTAATCAGCAGTACTTGTCCCGTAAAGTTTTAGGTGTGAAAGAGTTGTGATTTACTAGGCATGTTTGGGGTAGGATATTTTGTTGGGCAGGTTCTCTTTTTTCTTTTCAACTTTAATAGGCTTCCAATAAGAATACAGTTGTTACAGCGAAACCAGCATTTGTACTCTCAGCAAACCCCACGCCAAATGCAGAACGCTCGGCATAAGTGACTCAAACAGGGCTTATAATCTTGAGGTGTCGTGGGGGGATTCAGCAAATACTCCAGCCAGTCATTTTGTGCACAAGGCTTCAGTCAGAACATAGAAAAAAACATTCTGTGAATGAAACATTGTATGTTCAGATTTTATAAAAGACATTTTTAAAAGCCCAATTTACAGCCGTATATTTTCTTATGATGTAATTTATGAAAAAGATGTCTGTACCAACAGGTGCTGTGACTCTGCTGTCGTCGGATTTTACCGTTTGGTGATAAATGTAAACAATATTTCTAAGGGGAGCTGTGTACTGTGATGTAAAAGTCTGGGCAAAATGTATATAATCCTTGTATATAATTGTGTATTTGATTATAATTACTGATTGTAAAGATTTAATAAAACATGTAAATATTCTGGTCTAGTTTTAATTTGAATTTTTAGCATCATTTACATATGTTTATACCTTGATATCTCTTAAACTTTTTTCACTGCGTCTTCCCTTTAAATTTCACTTCACTCCAGGGGAGTAAACTCTGGGGCCGTCTTCGGAAGTAGAGACAGAAACTCACATCAACGGTTTACATCTCGGCAAGTGCCTGCGACCTCCAGAGTCAAGCGAGCGACCCCCGGTGGCAGCACTGCTGGCTGGTCACGCCTCGAGTTTACTTGTATGTAATTAACTTAGTCGTCCTTTCAGTGTTGTCACCAAAAGTCACACTCACCTCTCCCATGAGTCCCAGTGGGGTTGTTTTCCATCAGCAGCCACTTTCAGGTGTGGTGACGCTCTGCTCTTTGTGCTGTCCCAGCTCCCTGAGCTCACATGTGGTGAAGGACCTAATCAGGCCACCATTACTCATTGATAACCGCCTTCTCTAAAGGTGAGCCAGCTGGTGACCCGGCAATGGAACGGAGCCCTTGCTCCTTCTCGTGTGCCGTCCCCTCCCTCCCGGCAGTCCTCACCCCTTCTTTCAGCTTCATTTTGGTTTCTACTCACCTTTTTTTTACCCAGCCAGTGCCTTCCCCGCAGGAATTGACCTTTGGAAAGGACAACATTCGGTCTTAGGTTCTCTGGGCAGCGGGCCTTCATTCCTCCAGGACGAAGCACCACTGTTTCAGGAAGACTTAGGATCCAATAGTGTCTCTTGGAAGAATTCAGAGGGGAGGCAGCTTTTCTGAGGGAAGCAAACTGGAGGTCTGTCTGCTAAGAGAAGTTACGGGTTCATTGAGAAGGAGGTGTGAGCATCTGCCGGCTAGCAAGGCTTTCACTTCTCAGAGCCTGCTAAGTCTAGAAGCCCACAGTTTTTATCTACTCTCTTTGGTGAAGCCCCTGGGAGGCCTCTGACCCTTGGGGTCTGTCTTTTAGTCCTAGAAGGTGCACTCGCCATCTCAAATGACAGGAGCAGTGCTCAAGTTCAGGAGCCCTATGGTGTGTTATAGAGCACATTTCTGCCCCCAGCTCCATCCTGGTGAAATAGCAACAGGCCATGCTGAAAGGATAATCTGAACAGAATAAGATGGGATTTCTTACATCAGAAGGTGAAAACCTTCCCCACGTGGCTGAGGAGACAACCAAAGTCCCTAAAAAGATGAGTCAAAGGGAGATCTTCACACTGAGGAGCCAGCTGTTCACCCTCCCGCCCACATCACTGCCACCCCCTGGCGGAGTTTCCCAGCAACTTGAGGTACATCCTCCAAAGGAATCCCCACCTCTGTCTTTTCTGAACCTCTTAGGAAAGCCATTGGCCTCAGGCCCAGGAGGCAATCGGACAACCACTGCCAGCCAGTTAGTCTACACTTTCTTTCCTCGTTCCCCCTCCAGCCTGCACCTTCCACGTGAAGAGTAAACCAAGTTCTCAAGTCAGTCCCAGAGAGCCGCTACCTTTAGAAGGGCTGTGATCTGCTCGCTCAGCCACTCTCCTGCCTTACCTGAGGCATTATGCTAATTGGCATCCAGCCCCAATTGTTTTAATGCATCAATAATAAAAAAAATCTAAACTTCTGTGGTCTCAGTCTCCAATCCTTACTGCCTATTCTCTCAACTCGTCCACTCATAATTTTCAGTACCACCATCCAATCCACTGATCCTAGTTTCTCCAAATCCATCACCCTTTTTGGTGATCTTGCTTCCCCACCTAGCCACCTTTAATTAACCTTTATTCCTCTGTTGCACTAACTTGGCAAAACTTTAACTCTCATTAAACGCATCCACTCACTGATTCTGCACCCAAATTTAAGTATCGGTTGGAACTGGGTGAAATACCCCCCACTGCTACTGCTGACCGGCCTCACTTTAAGTCATGACTACAGACCTCAAGCGAGAAG